ATAATGCAGTTCTTCTTTACCCAACTATTGTGTTGCCGTACTCTAACGGAACTATCCACCTACCCTCTTCTAAAGATCATTCTCTAGCTAATAAATCATCACACTAAAGCTTCATGTTAGCATTTCCAACCAACTCTGATTTTTGTCTTCCTAATGTGCATTGGGGTCATTTGGCCTGGAAACACTGTGTACTTTTTCTGAATGTATTATGAAGGTCAATGAGGATTCAACCACCCCCCGAGTATCTAGACAGAAAACCTTAGTTTCACGTACCCACTTACAAATTGTAGATGTCTTCACCGTACGTAAGCAATGGGGTCAGCCATCGTTGGTGACATATTTTTTTTTCACATCAGAAAACATGCTTTTGTTTCACTTCATGTTAACATCGAAAGCAAGCCGAGAATAAATTTTGCGTGAGACGTAATACTGATGTAGCATTGTTTTCTTTATATCTTGGAATTTTATCGATTTTATAAATTCAAAATTCTGGATCAACAATAGAAAAGGGCCCATCAGCATTTGTAAACAAACCGTTCCAAATCCCTTTACTAAAAAAAAAAAAAAAAAAAACGGTTTGTTAAACAAATGCTGATGGGCCCTTTTCTATTGTTGATCCAGAATTCATTATTTTAAATGTTGTGTTTTAATTCAAGTCTGGTCAGGTTAATTCCCCGGGCGCATCTGGGACATGCCTGGAACTGACCAATGTTGTCCACGGCCCTCCAAATTGGCTACAATTTATTTTGGTTATCATATTTTTAAGTAATTTGTTTGTCATATGATAAGTTTTATTCTCCGGAACATGTTCTTGCCACTTTTCCAACACTAGTTGACCGATTTTGAATCTGTTCAATAATGTTCTATGGGATATGCTATGAGATCATGATACTTTTCATTTGGTGGATGTTGCGTTCAATTCGGTAAAGTGGTTGCCAAGGCAGATATTTTCCGATCCCGTCAAGCTGAGTTGATTGGAAGACTATTAGACAAAATATCGTGAAAGAAAAAAAGAGTTGATCAAAAATAAGACCAATTGTAAATTTACTCCACCATTATTCGATTTGACCGAGCCAGGGTACCAGAATTTTCCGGGTACATTGACATTACACTGGAGCTGTCAAATAGCTCCCGGGGTGGATTCAACAGACCGTGCCGATTTATGTCTGCTGAAGATCCAGCTCCATTTTACCATTGAAGAAGTATGAGTTGTTGATTGTTACATACAGCGTCAAGTATGCATTGTTCTGTAAAATTTCCAACTGAAAACACGACAATGAATAACGTGTCTGGAACAGGGCTCTACATTTTCGAAGATCTAAAATGATCTCGAGTTTTGTCTATATCATGTTCAACGCATCATTTCTATAACACCTAGCTCGACTATCAGCACGAAACGAAAATTAAAAAGAAGCACGCTTAGAACGAAAGGTTGGCTGTGGATGGTCTCGTCGTTGCTTTGCTCATCACTTTCAACGTAAGTAACGTCGATTTTCCAGATGAAACGAAACTTCCTTATGGCTTTCAATCCCTTTCACCGACACTCAGTCACCGGTCTTATATGCGTAAAGTCTCGTTTTCGAAACTTTTTTTGTAGATAAATATGTGGATGGAAGATAAATTTAACATATTACGTGTAATCTTCAAGTATTTTCACTTGAGAAATGCTTTAAATGTATATTTTCATTTTCATTTTCCGTCATATACGTCATGATGTGTTTCATGAGTGACGAAACTATCGATGTCAAGCGCTCTTCTGCTCGTCCGCTTCACCGAAGCTTGCAAGAAAGACCAATGAAGCGACGGGAGAAAGAAAGACGAGTGATTGAAAATTTCTCGATCAACAATTGAAAAGGTTAAATCAGCTTTTGTAAACAAAACTTTGTATGCCCTTTCCTCGCAAAGCGTAAAACACTCACGAAACCCAAAAGCATAACTTTTCCCTACATGATGATGTCATTGATTTGCGTGAGTAGCCTTCGGTTTTCGAGAAAAGGGCTTACAAACCTTTGTTAACAAAAGCTGGTAGGCCACTTTCAATTGTTGGTCGAGAATTTGTTTGTAGACGCCGACTGAGGTTCCAGAATACTGCGAAGCTGTTCTACTTCAACAGAAAAGAAAACTAGTTCGTCGCATCGATTTTGTTGATTGAAGCTGATATTGTGACACCCTGTTCTGGGCTGATACGAGCTAGGAAAACGCTTCAGGATAAATCAAAGCAGTGTTGGGAAAATATCAAAAAGTCAAATCTCACCAACGCCCAAGATCACGCTTGATTTTCGTAGACAAAAATCAACAAGCAAACAGCTGCGGCTGATTTTGCAAGCTGTGATATCGCAGCTCAGAATATCAAGCTAACAAAACTCACCAACTGCAAATCTCACCAAACTGTGGTGAGATTGAGTTTAATGATTTTTGCTTTACACCCGAATGCAACCGAAACTTCCATAACGGCGTACAGCAGTCCCTTCGCGTCTGCCATCGGTGAAGATTCAAAAGAGATGCTAAACTATGCTTTCTCTTTCTAAGAAAACAATGTGCAATGGAATCATTATTGTGTCGACTCAACTCTCAGCTTGATTTTTGCACGTTGTGAATAGTCTCGCAATATCAAAGGAGCTTGTAAAATCAATATCAAGCATGATGTTTTGTTCCAATATCATGCGTGATATTGCGAGCCCATGAGAGCGGAAAAATATCGATTGATTTCTGATTTTGCCAACACTGAATCAAAGATTGTCTAAATTCCTCTTAATCGAGAGATACATCACGTAAATGTTAATTAGTTGCTCGGTTGGAACAATGAAGGGTACGACTAGCTGTGTAATTCCACGGAAGGGACATGTAATCCGTTTAAGTCAAATATTGTACTCTTCATCTAAGGGTTTGAAGTTTTTCCATTGGAATCATGTCCCAGTTGTAAAATAAAAAGGATATCCACAGTTGGTAGTACTATCCAGCATGGTCAGTAGAGGAAAGGCAACAATATAACAATGCAGACGTTGTCGAATAGTAAAGGAAGGGAAAATAAGCTTGGACAATCCCCGCAAGAAGCATTCAACAACTTCCGATATATCGCACATGCTGTAAGGCAAAATCGAAACTTTTCCCAGTCGATTAGACCGTTAGCCATGAATTTTATTGATTTCGACTCACTGAGTCTTATAATAACCTTAGATTATTTATAAAAAATACAGTTTATGAGCAGGCTTGCTTCCACTCACTTGCTATAAAAAATTGTTTTTCGGAATTATGAAATCATTAGATATTATAATGATAGTTGGTAGTTGTAAGTCACAAGATAAGGCTGTAAACTAGGTGTTTGACACATAAAACCTGTCATTATTGCTTTCAGTGCATCACAATCAGCGATTTTACGATTCGTGAGCGCTCACTCTGAGTGAACGCTCACGAGTCATAAATTCGCTGATTGTGACACACTGAAAGCGAAATTGACAGGTTTGATGTGTCAAATACATACCTTCCAACCTCTTCTTGTTTCTTACAAGTATAAACTTTCATAATAGCATCCAATGATTCCCTAATTCCGAAAAACATTTTTTATAGCGAAGTGAGTGGAAGTAACCCTGTTATGAGTATTATTCTGATGAATATGAGGGTGGACGAAGAACTGCTGGTTAGCTGGTTGAATGGTCTCATTTGCCCTCAATTTAAAAAGAAACCCTGTCTGTAGTGCAATAATTACCGTGAAATAACTCCCCTGAATATCCAGAGTTGCTTCAGCTATGCAGTCTGGCAAGTTAACTGCATAGCCAAAACTTTCGTAGATCACCAACCAACTAACCAAGACGGATAAATGGAAGCTTCTCTGAATTTGGTGTACGAAATACTATCACCGGATCTGTTTAACATTAGCGGCGCCTGTGTTGTAGGGGTAAGCGTGATTACCTCTCACCCCAGCAGGCCTGGGTTCAATCCCAGTCGGCGCCGCCGGGATGTTCTGAGGCATAAAATCTCTGATCACACCTTCCTTCGGGAGGGAAGTAAAGCCGTTGGTCCCCGGTTCATGAAAAGATGGGTCGATAGGTAGGGTCCATGTGTGGGAGCTGCTTCCCTGGCGTCGGTAACATTGGTGCTCAGCACGGAAAACAAATCAAAGGAAAAAAAATCTGTTTAACAGATTGAGACCACTTGAAGAGTCCTTTTCTGTGAATACAAGGTTGGTTTTCGCGAAGCCTACTAAACATATACATTAAATCTGCTCACTTGGTTAGAAAACAGCCGAATAATAGCAGTAGGTAAAACTTGTTACCAGCCACGCTCTTAGGAAGATTTGTGTATTTATTCATCAGGTCAGGAAGCTACTATTTTTAATGCTTGACCTTACCCCCTCCTCTCGCAGACTTCTACACACGCCAGTCACAACAACAAATACATAAGCCGAGTGCAGCCCTTGTATTCGAACATTTGGGTATTATGATCATCTGCCCCGGTTGGGGAATGCCTCCGTCTAGAATGTTCGCGAAGCGAAAATGATATATGAGAAAGTGAGTACGTATATGAGCATATCTATACAAAAAAAAAACCACACAAGCGAAACGACCGCCGACAACACTGACAACGACGGCTGGGAGGACGGATGTAGCGCAAAGCTAACTCAAATTCGTTGTTTCTGCCACCCTCACGAGTTGTTTGCCTGTTTCCATTGGTAGAATCATACTCGCTTCGCTAAGTGTCAATGGTAGGAGTGGTTGTTGTTATCCATTGCGCTTCCGGTGTAAGAGGGCAGATGGGGGAGGAGGGAGTAGGTTTCCGAATTTCGTTGGAAATTCGTGGCAACTTTTTCCACTGCTGGCTGCTTGCTGCTAGCTGATGCCGTGTGCGGTCGTTGATGAATGGGTAATTTGCATCCTTGGTGGTGGATGTTGAATTTACAACGTATGGAGTTGGCAATCGGGTGATGGATGGATGGTAGAAATTTAATTTAAAGCTTGATGCAAACTTTTTGTTGATTGATATGGATGGCATATGATACTTACCGGTAGTAGTTCAGCACCTGCGCAAATACGCCCGGATGTCGATCGAAGAAGTACTCGTTCAGGATCGGATCGTAGTTGCCCAGCGCTTCGGTTAGCCTCGATAACCGTGTGGCCGGGATCTTCTTCAGAGTCGCCTTGTACGTCTCGTGACGAATGCCACCGACGTTCAGGACGACCCGATGGTCGGAGTCCATGTTGATGTTCATAGTCATCGTGGGCTCTCGTGGGTGGGGACGGGAGACCTAACTGGGTCTCACCTTAAGGTTGATGGAATTGATAATCTGTGAAGTTGAAACACGAAAGGTGCGGACATTCAACTCTGACCAAATGCAGACACACTTACAAGCATATTACCTTGTTTAGCTAACGGAGTTGACTTTATCCAAGATGGGAGTAACTAACTTTCAGCTCACTTTTGCCAGCAAATCCATGTTGACTGTGTAGAATGCAATGACTGACTCAGAAACGGGTGCCATCAAGATAACACAGGAAGTCTTTGCTCGTTGAAACCCAATTTTCCACCAGACACTATTTACACTCGTTTCGTCACACTTCTGGTCTAATATCGTAAGATATTACATTTTCTGCTGGCTGTTGCTACTACTACTGCTGCTGCTGGTATTTGCAATGTTGCACAAACTAGGAACAGCCGTAGAAGGCAAGAGATTAAATCCCTAGCCACAGTCAAGTGCACTGATAAACTTCTTACGGTGCGGATGGTTTCGGGCAAAATCCTATTTCACTGCAACCGGTATAAGTGAGTGCAACCCAGTAGTGGTTTCTTTTTATCATCTTCTTAGCGTGAAAGGAATGGGAGAAAATATTTTACATTGCGCTCATCCTGTCAGTGCTTTCATTCATACTGTCCCTCTAGTCTGGCATCGCAGTCCAGCCAGGCTGTATGCGGTATATACAATGGAAAATATGAGCCGAAGAATGTCACACGTTTAAAGCTGCTGAGTAATTTGCCAATCTGTTCGGGATTCTTCACTTTAAATTGTTAGTTAGTTGGGTCGATCTGTACATTGAATTTAGTGAATCTTCAAATGGTCGACACTCTATAGGCTCATATTTTCATGTTTTTTTTTTAAATTACCTAAAATATCGATCATTTTTCTTATTAGCACATTAGCACCCCCATGTTTTCTTCACTTACACTCAGAGCCGTGGTTAATAGTCTATCTTCGAACGCGTCTTGAAAATTTCCCTCATTTTCCTGCTCGAGCACAGCACCAAGCACTCAGTTTTAATTCGCTTTCTTTTTCTCATGCTAGAATGACACTTTCCCTTTGGCCGTTCTCTAGCCGAAACACACTGCCCTCTCTTCACCAGCTATAACTCATCTCCAACGCCGCACACCGTTTTAACTCTAGCGCACTTGTTCAAAGTCCATAGCTCACGTCCGAACACTTATGCTGCCACTTGTCGTTTCACAGTTTTCCTCCGAAGCCGACTTGAAAGGTAAGTAAATAAATTTTTCCACACTCTTCGACTTGTCCGGATCGAGCTAGCCCCCCACTCGTCCGTTCAACGATGGATTGATTCAAGCTTCCAGCCAGCCACCGGGTGTGTCAAGCGCAGATGATATGAACCATATGAACACGCGTTCTTTTGCTTGTTGCCGTTTTCTGGTATGGATATTGCCTTCAGCTTTATTACTTTTCTTTCACTTGCACTTTCGGGATCTATTCCGGGGGAAGTGCCCTCCGAAGGATAACTTTTATCGATAGAAAACTTTTATCACGTATGCTTCGGATACTTTGTTATTCGTGGAGCATGGTGTGGTTCTTTGGGGACACATTTTGAGAAAATTGGCCACTGCAAAATTTGCAATACTTGGATGAAGAATTCGAAAAATATTCCTCGGAAGCATATCATCAATTAAAGGTTCAAAGATAAGCAAAAAATAAATGCTATCAGCTAACAGATCATTCTGAAGAACTTCCAGATCATTGTTCAAGAACAATAAAGGATGATCATTATAATAAGTCATACGATGAGTTGACTTTGACAATCTATCATTGTCTAGAAATGTGAGCAACAACCAGATTGATTTTGCTACACTACACCAGTTCATACAGACCATTTGAATTGGACACTCTTGTCGGAGTACCCTACTGCAATGGCCAGTCGTGCGAGCCTAATATTTTCCCATATATGAAATACTGGAACCAACCAGTTGAGCAACCCTCACCCCATGCTTCCCAACACCGAATGATCATTCGCATTCTACTGCTATTGCTATTGGAAATAGAAACATATAATGAATCCTTCACACCCACACGCACACAATGTCACGAACGTTACACCCGAGTGAAAAAAAAGTTTATTACACGCATTTTGGCTAAACTGCCAGCTGTCAACGAGTACAAAGAAGGCAGATAGAGAAGGATCCAAATCCTCAAGGGTTCATTAAATGTGTTTGAGCACGAACAACGTCATCGCCCAAGTCTCAGCGTTGTTGTCGCCTAGATGCTAACACCGCGACATGCTAAAGCTCTTTGCCGTCACCGTTATGCTCGGAGACACGAAAGTGACACGTTTTTCTTCACTCTCTTCGAAGAGTCTGACTGACCCACCCGCGGAACGAACATGTCCAAGTTTCATCTACTACAGCTTTATCAGGGGAACGATGATCCAATATGCTCGGATGATGAGGGAGTAGGGCATCGGATATCTGTGGAAGAAAACAAGAAAGAAAAGGGTAAGATGGTAGATGGTCACAGTCACGAGGATAATACAGCATTTTAATTAGTTGATAGCAACTCCCAAGTAACATTGCAAGCTTTATAGAAGTTTTATAGCAAGCTACAAGTCTAAATTGTTGTCTACAGAACCTTCGTAAAACCTAAATTGTTACTAGGGCTGTGAGTGAGAAATGGCACTTGATGACCTAATATGGTTGAGAAAACTTAACTTATAATAAAATACTACAAAATATGTTCCCCATTATTATTGGTTTCATGAGAATATTTAAATTAGAATTCAAAAGTTATGCTAAACAGTTTTTGTTCAACATTCATGTTTATTCTAGTACTAAACCAAAGTGATCAATTAAATTTTAATCTTAATTAATAAATTAATCGGTAAGAGTTAAAGTGGTACGTCTCCACTCAAGGGAATTTAACAGTTTTAGTCCCAATTTTTTCTAAGGTGGATATTAGACTGATGCAAATTTTGACATTTTCGCTCCACAGTGCTCAAACGGTTCCAAATCGGGTCCTGATTAGTCTCCCAAAATTTGAACTCATTTGAAAAAAAAAACTGACTTGGCACAAACCATTTGAAGTTTATATGGAAATTACTATGGGAAATCCAAACTTTGTGTTCATTGTCTTCTTACCTTTTTCAATATTACACTGTTCAAAAATTCAAAAGCTATACTTATGGAAAATTTTCTCAGCTTCAACTTAGCAGAATAAAGTTGTTGAGCCAAACGTCAAATTAAATAGTTATTAATTGTTTAAGAGATTGATAATCTTATGGCATGATCAAGCAGCTGTTTTGTGAGCAACACTGTATCTTGCAGTGTGACATAGTAGCCATGATTTTTGTGCTCTATTCCAAGCGCCAGAAGTACCAATGTTCCCTGCTGAACAGTTGATTGAGCATAATCGTAAGACATTAGTGGCTTGAATTATTGATAACTTTTGATGCTTACATTATATTGAAAAGTGGTTCAGGACACAGTTTTAGCTAAGAAAATTTTCTACGAGCTCAGTTATCATTTTTTTTAAAGCAGAGCGATATGATAAATTATTAGATGGATATGAACAAAACATTTGGTTTTGCTATAGTAATTTCCATATAAACTTCAAATGGTTTGTGCCAAGTCAGTTTCTTATCGAATGAGTTCAAATTTTGGGAGACTAATCAGGACCCGATTTGGAACCGTTTGAGCACTATGGAGCGAAAATGTCAAAATTTGCATCAGTCTAGTGGATATTGTGAATCTTTTTTTACCTCTTTCTAAATTTTGAATAAATATAGAAAGTAAATTTAAATTATTTTTTTAGGTATTGCACAGTCCTACCAAATCTTTCTATACTTGAGTTTTAAATGGATGTATATATATGGTCGACTAGGATATATTTATCGAAAGATTTGTATTCTAAAATGCGCGTAGAGCGTACACACTTTATATGACAGCCATTCCATAGCAAAACGATATAGTAGTTCTCGGAATTTTGTAAAATTTGGTAGTTTTGTTTTTCAATACAAAGTCTCATTTTTTTTAACATCCTTATATTTTTTTTGAAATTATTTTTGATTACCTTTCATTTGATGTTTTGATCTTTAAAATCGGCTAAGTAGTTCAAAATTTATAAATTTTTGAAAAAATCATTTTTGAAAATAAATGATTTTTGGACCACCCTAACATGAAAACGGTCACCCTAATGACACAATAAAAAAAATGTTTCTAATATTTTGCGATAAGGAAGAAAACTACCAATCATTACGAAATTCTGAGAACCACTATATCGTTTTGCTATGGAATAGCTGATGAAATACAAAGCAGCATATACAAAGCATAATAAGTTCTCCAAATCGCCCTTGGGGATCATCCATTAAGTATGTCACACTCTAAGGGGGAAGGGGCGTATTTCAGCAAACCGTTAACAAAAATCCTATAAAAATAAAATGATTTTCATTGATATCGATTGTCAAAACATTAGACATTTTTGTGATTACCAGGATATAACTAATTCGATTTGCAAAAATTGAAATCATGGTATTTGAGAAATTTCCAGTTAACCATTATTACAGTAGGGTTACAGTTGTTTATAGTAGGATTGTTAAGCATCTTAGTTAAAAAAAATCTCGAACAAATCTGGCCTCATAGCATTAATTTTCATAGTTTGAGCGGTTACAATCTTAAAAATAGAAAATTTATTTTTTCTTTGGTACAACAATTAAACAATACATTTCAATGTAGGGGAAATGACGGCTTCAGCATGACAGACTATTTTCGGCAACCCAAATTGAAACACTATTTTCACTGGATTTTCTTACGAAAGCACGTCGCTGAATGCATGCAAACGATTCTTTATGCTTTCAGCTTCAATTTGACTATATTTTTACCACTGAGAAAAAGCAATCTAGCAGGGTTTTCTTGAAATGAAACACACGCACTACAAATTGTAGCTGATTTCGAGTTGCCGATAATAGAACAGCAGATTTACATGCAGTTCAAATGGAACGGTTGCCGAAGAAAAACTGGTTGCCGACAATACTCGCTCTCACTAGAGAAGATTGGAGCTTTGTAAAAGCGTTTCAAAACAGTTTTTGACAATTCTTTCGACTGAAATTGTTAGAGCAGCTGGCAGCAAAAGATTGTAAACAAACCAATACTGCATATGTGTGCGTTCCATAGAGAAAAAGGCTATAGAAAGAAGGTCGCTGCTTAGGTTGCCGAGAATACGTAAATTCCCCTACTCAAAGTAAAAATCATTGTAGTTTCGTTGTTTTATTATGGTTAATTTTACGGAAGCACATTAGTGTGGTAGCTCATATTTATACCATCCGTTTTTTCCCTCATTTATCCAGCACTGCTTGCTGTGTCAGTATTTCCTTTCACATCTGTCATGCTTCACGCTAATTTAGCTCAACTCAGATGGAGTGTTTCATTACTTCACACAACTCTCAAGTATTTTTTTTTTATTTATTTTATTATTATTATTATTCCGCATCAACCTTATCTACCACAATTAGGTATAGGAAAATTGTGAGGGAGCGGGGAGGGATTGATTTTCCTTAAATGTTGCGTGACGTACTTAATGCATGCTCCCTTCAGAATTACTCTTTAAGCTCAAACTGCGAACTGAAATTTTACGCGAAGTCCCGACTAAATGAACTAATACATAGAGCTCTTTTTTATTAAATATATTTAAGAAAAACATGCATATGCATTTGTACTAGTCTACGTCAGTTAACGATATAAATAAATCTGAAATCTGAAAACTTCATATGTGAGATTTACACGTGTGTCGACAAAATATCTTCTCCAAATCATCCTGCAGTTCAGATCTTGATGTTCTAAAGATTCAACAACGTTTTCTATGATGTCCCGGCTCAAATGTTTGTACCCTTAGAGTAAGATGCGGTAAAAATTCGACCTTTGTTGAAAAAAAAAAAATCTCAGGATTCCAAATATTTAGAATCAAATTAATTTCATACACAAGATCCGAAATTCATGGTTTACAAAGTTTTGATTAATTGTCATTTCATTCGTAGCTAGACAGATTTTTCCGGAACAGTCTTCAAAAGGAACTTTTGCCCCATCGGTGGGGGCAAAAGTTTGCAAACCTAATGACAGTTTTTAGAAGCCATTTTACCTAATGGCATTGAGTTTGCCTACATTCCGAGTGGTGAGCGAACATGATGAAGAAGAAGCAGATGGCTTTATCACAGAGCCCCGTCTCGGAAAGAGTGTATTGTTGATGGACCTGGTCT